TTTTTTTTTTTTTTTTTTTTGTAGTTTGGTTTCCTGACAGTCCCTAAACCTATCTCTCGGGAGTTTGGGGCAGTCCTCACGTGTAGGCCAGATTCAGGTTCACAAACTGCAGTCATTTTCTGCTAAAGAGAAACCAAAGCACATGCTTCCACGCTGACAAGAGCTTCACCTCACGGTTAGATTATGATGCATATTCCATTTCCTCAAGACCCAGTAAAAAAACTAATAATACTGAGATCTACACATTTAAAAGCTTTTGTTAAAATTCTGAGAACAATGGTTTGCTTGTCACCCTGCCAAATCACGCCCCCCTCAAAAATGTAAACTCTGTTACCTTTAGTTTTCGTCTAGCATTAAATTTCTTCAAGCAATCAACAGTCTCCTGTCTGTGCATCATGGAAGCAACAGTAGAACGTTGCTAGAAGAAAAGGAGAAAAAAAGGGGCTTAACTGAAGGTACCTGAAACATACCAAACATAACAGCATCCTTGACTTCATCAGATCTCTGTATTCTAGCACAAAAATATGGAAATAATGCCACTAATTTATCTAATTATATTTATTGCAATAAATCTTGAGTCAAAATTTTACTGGACTGTCTTTCATTTACTTGATACTATATTTATTGTCCTAACATTTGACACTCACTCTTACAAATTTACTGAAGTTTTTAGACTTCTCACAAGTTTCCTACTGTTTTTTCCTTAGTCCTTCTAAAGTGTATTCAGACTTCTATGGTCATCTGTTTATGCTACTCTATGCTGAGCTTTCAAACTTCATAAATGTTTCTAAAGCTGTCTAATGATAAATAATTGAATTTTGTTTAATTTTTTCTTCTGGGATGCATTCAATTTTGGTGTTATTATCCTAACTTTTGCTCATAAGTCTGTCAGTAATTCCTATGAGGAATTCTCATTCCTTGTGTTATTGTAGACAATATTTACTAAGCAGTCCATGTAGATCAGACTTTGGTACAAAAAATGATGTCTTTCATCATTATAAAATTCACTTTCTTAAATATCTTGTATCAAAAATGCATTCATTCTGAGTTTCATATTTCTGGAAGAATTACTTTAAATCTATGAAAACAATGTTAAAGAAGGGTTTATTTTTCATTCTTTGTGTGGTTTTTGAAGGATTACTTACAAAGATCCATGGGTGTTTCAGGGCCTCTGAGGCTGTGATGCGTTTGGCAGGGTTGATGGTAAGCATTTTGTTGATAAGGTCTTTGGCTTCAGGAGTTACTGTGTCCCATTCTGGTGATGGAAACTTCAATAATATAAATTTATAAAAAATTTAAAAATAGATACAGTAAAATGGGGAAGAACCAGCTATATTAGTCATTTTCATAAGTAGTGAATTTCTTCATAAATTTACCTTTTGTATAAGTTAAATTTTATCCAAAATCATTCAGTTTGGATATCTTCCTCCCTCCATATGTACAAGGTCAAATATTAAAGACTGATAAAGGGCCACAACATGTACCAATTTGTATATTATATGTAGTAAATACATTTAAAATTTAGAAAAATAAACTAAGAATATTCAGTTCCTTTCAAAATAGCTTTGCTTTGACCTGAAAATGAATTTTTATACAATCTTTTCCAAAGTCAACTGCACAACTCAATAAAGGCTGCATGGTTGTCACATATGTTAAAGTCATTATGCTAATGTTCAATATGGAGTATCATATACTTTTACAACTCATGAGCATAAGAGCAGAGATAATAATAATAAAAAAAGCTTTGATTGCCATCTAAAACTGACACATTAATTGTGGCTATATAAAGTGATGTAATGAGAAGAAATCTGAGGCTACTGGAATTTCATCAGGATTTCTCCTTAACACCTAATTACAAATTTCACCAAAGTACATGAAGGCAAGCAACTCCCATCACTTCCATTAATAATCCATGTTTGTATTAATAATCACACAATGTACTACTTATTCTCCCTTTCTTGACATTGTTTTTTGTTACTAATCATTTAACCTTACTTTCATATAATTAGCATATTTTATAGAAATAATATTCTTCATAAGATAAGATGTATTTATATCACAGTAGTTGCTACATGGCAGAATATCAGGTTCTTTTCCAAATTCAGGAATTTTTACAGATAATCTTGATAAACAAAGCCATCATCATTTGTTATGGAATTCAGTGAGCCCCTTTCAGTAGTTATAGAATGGGCACTTATGAACCAATGGAAAAGTGAAAGTTCAGAAAAATGACAGTGACTCATTAAGACCTATAATTTTTGCCAGTTTAAGGGATGGGATTTTTTCATTTTAGTAGTTTAGTTTTGGCAGCTGGAAAACCTTGCTGACTATCCCTTTTGAAGACACACTCACAGCTGTGTCTGAAGATAGAGCATGTCTCCCAACAGCAACAAGAAGGTGGCCCTTGTTGTCAATTTTCAGATTTCCAGAAAGCCACCCTCTCCATTTACCCGCAGTGAGCACAGTGCATCTGCAAGGCTGGGTCAGGCCAGAAGGGCTGAGTTTTGTCTCTGAAAATAGTAAATACGCAAGCTGTGACCATGTAATCATGGCTTGGTCCACTTATTCATGGAAGGGAATGCTTCAAAATTAATAGATTTTAAAGTTCTTAATAACTGATAGACACAACCACCTAAACTGAGTATTTTAACAAAAACACAGACAAGGTTGTGAAACCTAAAAGAATAGAAATATTCTTTTTTTATTCCTTGTTTATACCTAATTACAAATTTTACCAAAGTACATGAAAGTAAGCACATCAAGCCTTTAACATGTGCTCAGAAGGTGGATCCAGCACTGCTTGCTCTTCAGTAACCCAACTTAATAATTTCATGGAAAGCAACCCCGCCATTAGATTTCCAGAAAAATGTATACAGTGAAGCCCAAGAAAGTGGTAAATTGTACTTACAGAAACACAGCTACTTGCTATAGAATTGATGTTTTAGTCAACAATGGACTCAGTACATGACAGTGATTCTATAACATTGTGATGAAGTTGAAAAATTCCTATTGCCTAGTTTGTCTTTGCCATCATAATATTGTAGCACAACACTTTGCTGATGTTTGTGGTGATGCTAATATAAATGAATCTACTGAACTGCCAATTATACAAAAGGATAATACATACTATTATGTGCAGTGCACAATACTTGATATTGATATTTAACAACTCTGCTACTGGTTTATGTACTCACCCTACCATGTTTTTATTGTTATTTTAGAGTGCATTCATTTCCTAAAAAAAAATGTTTACTGTAAAGCACTACACCTCTTTACTGAAACAACAGCCTCATAATCTCATCCTACTGCATCTCTTCATTATATCAAGAGTCTGCATTGAGTGACTTACTTATACCATCAAGGTTCATTTACATGTACTCTATGGTGCTTGCACAGTGACAAAACCATCCAAGAATGCATTTCTTAGAAAGCAATTCTGTTGTTAAGACATATTTATCTAAGAGAAAAAATTGTATCAGTGAATAAAAAGTTATCAAGAGAAAGTAGGTAAGTTAAGATTAAGACCTAATTCATGAGTGTGTGTATACATTTCAAATATTCTAATTATAAATTAAATCATTTTATTTGATACATGGATCATTGCAGTCTTACTGGTATATAGAAACTATGTGACAAACTAATAGGTAGTAATCATTTCTGAAGCAGAAATATTTTAAAACACACACACACACACACACACACATATATATATATAATACTATATTAGTAAAGCATTACTAATCTGGATCTAAATTGACTTACATTTCAAAGAGGAAATTACAATGGAATTAAATAAATGTATTTTACTAAATGACAATAAAATATCACAAAACAAATCTTGAACATCCTTAAAGCAATCATAACACAATATAGCACAACATATATATGTAAAGAAATAAAACAAAAAGCCAGGCCTAACTTTTATATTTTAAAATACACTAAAATCTGAAAATTTTCATAAGTAAAGTCTTTCCTCAGAGATCTCAAATTCCTTCCCTTTCAATCTTAAGAGATAGTGAGCTAGAAGCAAATACTAAATGGATTACATGTTTTGCATTTCTTTCTCTTTCCCTAAGTGAAAAGGAAATAACGGTTGAAAGAACAATGAAAAATTTAGCTCTTGGTCAATTAAACATCAAACCCTTATCTAAGAGACATGGGCATTTATTACATACATCATATGCACCAGCCTTGATTTGCTGGTAGAGTCTGTGTTGGTCCTCATCCCAGAAGGGAGGATACCCCACCAGTAGAATATACAGAATGACACCTGGAGGAAAGTAGCAGATTAACATAATGTAAGTTATACAGACAACAATAAGTCAAGTGTCACTCATCCACAATGATACTGTAATAAGTTCCTGTGATCAAGAACTGTAACAATGTATCATCCCCTACCTGGACCATGAATTGTACAGAGGCAAGGCAACAGCTAAAAATGAAAATCTCCTGTGAATCACTCACAGGAAAATGGATACATATTGAGGTTATACTCTTAAATGAAATAAATAAGTCACATGTGTAAACACCAAATACTTTCTCTGGTGTGAAAAACTATAATTGTAAATGAGATCCTAATGGTATAATTGACAGTGTGAAATAGGAAGAAAAGGGTTAAAAGTGTGGGGGAAATGGGAAGGGGATGGTAGGGGAAATAAGGGAAAAATGTGAGAAAATGAAAAAAATGGAAATAAAGTTTTTGTAGAGGAGGGGGTGAAGGGAGGGGAGGGGTGTGGGGAGAAAATGAGAACCAGAACCTGTCATGTAAAGGTACAAGAGCCCAGTAATGAATGTAACTGTACTGTATACCTAAAATGTACCAATAAACTCAATGAGGAAAAAACAAAAACAAAATCTCCTACGATTTTGGTGACATGTTCTTTGCCTTCCTGAACTCTTGCATACAGACTCTGTGTTAGTTATCATATTAATAAAAATCTAACAGGTTATTTATTTCTTCATAGTCTTTTTGTTGATAATTAAGAAACTCTGTGGAGTGATGATATCCTGATTATATTTTCATGCTCTAAATAGCCAGGGTCCCTGATTGTGGATAACATATAAAAGTGTAATACCCTTTTCACTGAAACTGCACTGTTTCCCAATAAACATCTGGAATTAGACTGTTAGAAAAGTATTAAACAGTCATAACTGAGACATTTTTTTCCATTCTAAAGTTCGGCTATTTGTTCTTCTCAAATTTACTTTCCCTTTACTCAATTTTCCGAATAATTAATTGGCTCCCCATCATTCCCTAAAGGTCAGACTCCTCTTGAAGGTTGCTTACCACTCTGTGCATGGATTTCAACTTTTTGACATATTTCAACCCATTGCTGTTCATTTTTATAGTGGGTCTAACTGTTCCATCTCTGACCAGTGTAAGGGTCCTTATGTTGAATCCCAAGCCCTGCTAATAGAAACCCAGTAGCCTCTGACAGTTCCCCTTCCTCTGAGATGAAATGAATCTCCTGAGTCATCTGTACTTGTTCTGACCCAGACCTGGAACAGGCTGCTCATGCAAGAAGTTCTAGTTCCTTTCAGGTGTCAATGGTGTGCAGAGGGTAAGGCTGGGTACTTACATACTCTAAAACTACAGCTTTTTTCAACAAATAAATTAAGAAATGAGATGGGGAAGACAGAGAGGGAGAGGAGTAGAAAGTACATAAAAAGAAATTTAGGCTAAAGAGTAACAAAATTGTGATACAAAAAATTAAAGAGGAAAAATTAAAATATTATTACATGTTAAAGTCATCATTAAAATTATTATCAATTATTATTTTTAAATGAATCATTTTCTTTATAGATGTTTGGTCAGAATGTTTGGATTTCAATAAAATAATCTTAGGTGGAGGAATAAGTGGGAAAGAAGATGAAATAAGGTTAGCCTTTAGTTTACTGCAGTACAGTGGTACCTCAGTCCACAAATGCTTCTATTTGTGAATAATTTGGTTCACAAAAAAAGCATTTGGCAAAATGTTTTTGTCTGTGAACTGTACACCAAGTGACAAACATGACCATAGCCATCTTCCCTTCATAAACATGAACATGGACATCTTTTCAGAATCATGGAACAAATTTTTTGTAAATCAAAGCATCATTACATTCTCTCCTTCTGCACATTAAAATTTTCCATAATAAACAGTTAAAAACTATTTTTGACACATTTGATTTCATGTAACTTCAAAAACACACTAAAACTAGCTTTCATTATCTTGTGTGTAAATTTGAATTTGGTAGATACTAGAGATGTTTGATTAATAAGAGTTTGCAGAAGCACTCATTAGTGATTAGGTAGAAAGACTTCATTATCAAGAATATTAAAACCCGATTTAAATAAAAACCGATGTTAGAAAAATGATAAAAAGTTCCTAAAGGTTCTTGTTATAAAAGAAGAGACAATGAAGGAAAAATGAACGAAGTTAATGGAAAGTTAACTGAATAATCTAATCACGACATTTACCCTTGGCAAGAAAGGGGTACTCTGAGGTCCTGTAAAGGATACATGTGGAGGTAGGAAATGTACCGCTAACTCCATGAGTGATAAGCATGACTTCCTCTTGTCCTGCTCTAACACCTTAAGCAGATATTATTATGCAATTCAAATAGGGCAAGTGTTCAACTAATACACTCTCATCTGAAGACCAGCGATGGTGCTCGCTTCAACAGCACATATACTAAAATTGAAGACCCAGTGATGGGTAGAACAAAGGTTGGAAGATCAAGGACAGTGGGATATGAAGTCATTTTCCAGAGGGTGAACTGTCTATGCCATGCAGTGGAGCAGGCAAACTGCCAGGTTTTCTGGTACCACACAGAAATGAATGTCTGGGCCCAAACTCTGTGTGAGACGGTTTGGTAATGGGGTTAAAGAGGGACAGCTGCTGAATAGGATGGCTACTATGTAAGAACAAAAACATCATGCTATCTGTTCTTTTATTTTTATAATAAATGTCAATGACCCCCATAACAGGTGGTACAAATGCCTGGCAAGATGTCGTCTAGGGACCACCTGCAATGGGTTCAATGCGTGAGTCCCATCAAAGTCTATGTGTTTGAAACCTTCATCCTGATGTCATGGCAAGCAGGTGGAGCCTCTGGAAGGTAAGTAGGCCAGGGGGATGGAGTCCTTGTGAATGGGATTAGTGCCTTTATCAGAAGAGATCAGAGGGCTAGTTGAGCTCCCTTAATGCCATAAGGATACAATAATAACTTGGCAGTTGGTCCCCTGAAAAAAGTGTACACCAGCATCTGACCCCACTGGGCTGGCTCATTTACCTAGCCTTCAGCCGAAGGCTAAAGGAAATTGACTTTCCAGGGTCTTGCTGCTTAGTGTTAGTTACATCAGAATCATCTGGCAGGCTTGTTAAAAGGCAAATTCCCAACCTCACCCACAGAGGATTTTTCCCTGTGTCTACTGTGTTAAAAAACACATATTATATTTACACATATAGTATTAAATTGTATATGAGAGACATAGTCTTACTGTATAGTTCAGGAGTGTTAAGTACTTTTCCACTATTGTGAAGATCCCCAGAACTTTTTCATCTTAAAACACTAAAACTCTAAACCCACTAAACACTAATTTCCCTCCCCTTCCCCCAGTGCTTGGCGACTACCTTTCTACTTTGTTTCTGCAAATTTCTATGGCTATTTCAGAACTTTCATATAAATGCAATAAAACAGTATATCCTTTTGCAATTGACCTATTTTCAATAGTATATCCTTGAGATACATTCATGCTGTAGCATTGATAAAATTTCTTGTTTTTAAGGCTGTATGATATTTTATTATATGTATATGCCATGTTCTGTTTAATCCATTCATCTGTGGAAGGGCTTGTGGGCTGCTTTCCCCTTTTGGCTCTTGAATATACAGCTGTTATAAGCATTGGTGTGCAGACATTTCTATAAAATCCTGTTTTCACATCTTTTGGAATATATACCCAGAAGTGAGATTGCTGGATCATGTGACCCCTACAAACATCTATTCAATGGTTCTGGGGTGGGTCACAGGAGGCCAACATTTTGAAAAGGACTTCAGATCACTCTGAGGGATGGGGTTGGTGGTTCAGTTAAAAAAAATGGAAGTTAGAGAAATTACATATACTAACTCAAGAGATTTAAGACATCATATAAGTTCAGTGTGAGAGGACATTAGGAAAGATTATGTTTGGGAGCAAGGCCTCATAGGTTAAAGACTGTTGAAGATGGAGTGATACAGGGTGACATGCAGAAAGCCTAATTTTGAAGCATGTCTGTGGTGGCCTGTGGTGGTCTACTGTAAGGTAGTTATGGGCCTGGCAGTAGCAACAAACTGTCCAGTAGGCTGGGGCTTTCAAAATGATAAAAGCACTGTATTGATTTATCCCAGCTGGAGTATGAAAAAGCCAAGCTCTAAAAATTACACGACTCTTAAATCTAAATTCAGTATGTGAAAAAAGAGGAACATTCTATAGTATTCTAAAGATTTGTCTGAGGCCCTCATTCCGTGATGGTTAATAATTTATTGCCACTGATAACTGCTCTGCTGATATCTAGACACTGAAACACTAAGATGACATATCCGCACATTTTTCCAGGTTGGCTGGCCTCCCTGTCTTCCTCTCCCTCCCTCCCTCCACCTTTGCTTGCCTCTTTCCTCCCTCCCTTTCTTCCTTTCCTTTTTCACTTTTCTTTCCTTTCTTCCTCTTTCCCTCTCTTTCTCCTTCCATCTTTTTTCCTTCTTTCATTTCTCTTTTCTTTTGTTTCTTCTCTTTCTTGCCAAACTACTGAACAAACTCTGCTAAAAATCAGTGATCCAGTGACATCCATGAAACTTTGTTCATCCCAGTGGGATTTATGGAAGTAGCTATACATACAAGAAAGCCATCAAAATCAATTCACTGTTTTTCGTGGCAGAACACAGGGCTATGTTCTTGCTTCATTAATATCTATTATTTACTATTATATCTAGTAATAGACTCATTCCTTTCCAAGGCAATAACAGGTCAGTCCATACTCTGTGTGAGTTACCAAAAGCAAGGTAATGGGGGTATTTCAGATTTCCTGTGCGCAGATAATTGCATGTTCCTATGAACAATCATATACAGACTTCTTTGTTGTCACCATACTAATGCTGTATTTCACTCTGCTCTGTGTCAGATGCCAGAGTCACAAAGAATCTTCTATAATGAATGCTTATAGCTTAATTCACATAGACACTAACTGTAAGTCTCCTAAATGAACTGTTTTGCATTTCTTTTTTATCTGAGCAGTGTCATGTTTTACCATC